ATTTTTGCTGCTTTTAGCGCTATATATCTTTTATTTAGAACTTTTTATGATGAATTTGGATTAAATTGAGCTTCAATTGCAATACTGGTTTGTTTTAAGTTTGATTTGTTACTATGTGTGATGCTGAGGCATGGTTCTTTGGTCTTCTTCAGTTTCTTTAGTCATAAAAAATCCGTGCTTGATGATTGAATCACTTTATGAAGCCTCCTATACATGTTGTTCATTAGCAAACTGTTGTCTTTTTATCTGCTTTGTTTTTGTCAAATAAAGTAGAAAACTTGTATAAAGCCTACTGTACACTTTTATGCTGAAGGACTACTGAGAAAAGATGGAAGGCTTAAAGCAAATGCAAGTTGATTGAGAGTGATGGTTTTCAGTATTTAGGATTTATGTGCCATTCATGTGCTATTACAGATTGATTCTTTTGTAGAGTTGCATTAGTCTATGTTCCGCTTTTGTTTATGTGTTGATTCTTGAGTTTTTGATCAACTAAGAATCTGGTTTTGTAATATGTGGGCAGTGTCTTGAAACTATTATCTGAGGTGTCTATCTTTTTTCCTGTAAAGACATTCCCGATTATGCTGTTATTGTTTGGTTGTACAGGTTCCAAGGGGGCATGTGTGGATTCAGGGGGATAATATTTATTCATCAAGGGATTCAAGGCAGTTTGGCCCAGTCCCTTATGGTCTTATTCTAGGCAAAGCATTCTGGAGAGTAAGCACTGCACTTTTTAGTCTTGCTGTTAACTGTCCACTTTTGCCCAGCGATGTTTGCACTTGATTATTGCAGGTTTTTTATGGTATTTAATTTTTGTCGAGGTAATTGTAATTTACCAGATCTATCCATATTCTTTCTATTTCCTGTTTTCTGGTGAACATACGAGGCTTTATACTCTTGGAATGTTAATTACTTTTGTTTCCTAAGAATTCAGAAAGATATGCCATCTCAACTAAAAAGCAGAAAGAAGAATGTTAAGGAGATAGAAATTTCTCTAGTTATTAGAAATGCAGGAGTATTCCAGTAGACAAAACACTAAACTAACTTGCATATCTAGATCCTTGTCTCATGCTCTACATATCTCTTCTATGTGGAACCTTGTTTCTGTCAATCAAATTACATACTTAGTATGAGCATCCCAATCACTCCCTTTCCTTGGAGCGAATGATGGCCTTGAAGTGATACCTCAATCATTACTTTTGGTTGTCTTTTCTTTTTTTTTCCCCCCCACCATGGGCTTGTTTGTTCACGTCAGTTTTCAAATGTTGGCTAATCCTGATAAATTTCACCTCTAGGTATGGCCACCTGATGGCTTTGGGAGCTTGTGACAAGAATAAGAGCAATCACGATGTTTGTTGGTTTTGGCCATTTTCCTCCCTCAAGGAACAAGAACACAGATATTGCTGTTGATGCTCCCAGAAAAGCATTTTATTTTTGGACAAGGGCTTCCATCAACTGATGAGAAAGTATTTGAGCATTTTAGTGTAGGCCATTGTTGGCATTTTTGTGCTATTGCTACAAAGGAATGATTCATTCTGTGTAAACTGATGAGCAATTTGATTATACAGCCAAAGACGAAAAGGCCCTACACGAATTAGTTTCTTCCCTTCATTTTTTTCCCTATTTAATTGGCTTTCAAATTGTAATGACGAACAAGGTTCTTTTGTTGTTCATTTTAGGGTTAATTTCATTGAAGATCGGTGGTTAGGCTCGAAATCATTGAATGAGTAGATTGCTGATTGGTGGCTCAAAGCTGACTATAGCATGAAACAGGTGGGATGGAGTTGCATGGCCTTTCATACCTTACTTTCTGATGATAATTGTTCTTATTCTACTGCTGGAATAAAGGATGACAAAAGCCGCGTACAGGAGACATATTAAAGGTTTTCTTTTTCGAAAAAATAAATAGAATTTAAACTCATTAATAGTATGAAAACTTGGTAAAGGGAAAATGGCAAGCAACAAAGAGTACCAAGTTTTGTCTTTTGATTGCGAGGGATAGTTCTAAAATGTAGAGATCAATCTATGGTAACTAGTATCAAGTAAAAAGGTCTAGAATTTATAGATCTTAATGGTCTTTGTTTTAAGCCCTTCCCTTCTTCTTTTCCTCTCTTTTTGGCTAAAAATTGTTGAGGGGAAAAAAATTTAAGTCAAAGGGTTATACAAATGAATTGTTGCTATAAAGAACATGCAATGTTATGATGAACTAACATATTTGTTTGATTTGGGAGGAGGAATGGATTGAGTGGTTCGAAGGAGGAAGTGTAAGTGAAAAAAAAAACTTATTTGTTTGATTTTCAAGATGAACCGAATTTTTAGGGTGGAAATTTAGAAATTCTGGTCAAAATTAATTGTGGGCTTCAATCAAAATTTGGCTCTAATAGTTTTATTACAAAACAGAGGGAAAAAAAGTCATCATAATTTTATTATTAAAGGTCTCTTGGATTGAAAATGATCCCAATAACATTGGGTTCCAAAAAGTATAAAAAAAAAAAAATGAAAACAAGAGAGAGAGAGAGAGAGAGAAAAGAAGAAGGAAATGAGCTGGGCCGCCCAAATAAGTTGGGCCACCAGAGCCTTAGGTGAAAACGGCGTAATTGAGAATTCCAACGCATCCGCCCCGCTCCGCTCCTGTATATAATCACAGCCCTGACAGCAAATTAGGGCTTTCATTATCTAAAGATTGCCTTTTGAGAGAACCGAGCGTGCTTTTGTGTAGCCGGTGCCGCTTTGAGTTCCGTTGCGGGCATACACCAAATATTCTCAGAGCCCTTTCTTCATCTCTTTAGCAATTCCCATGAATTTCTACTGCAGGAAAGGTCTCACAATTATTTATTTATTTATTCAAACAGTTTGTTCTTTTTCTCCTTCATACTAAGAAATTTTGGTGGGAAATTTTTTTTTGGGGTGGGGGTGGTGGTGGTTGGCGGCCGTTCCAATGGGATCTCGCGGAGGAAAGTAACGAAATTCCAATGTGCGGGAGCTCAATTTCACCCGGCCTAGATTAATTGATATATATGTGTATAAGTGGCGGGCAGCCTCAAGGATTATGCACGGTTTTCTCTCGTGTATTTATTCAGGGAAACTGCCCTACATTTTTTTCTTCATATTTTCCTTCCCTCGTCTGATTAATTTTTTCCCTTTTTTTTTGGTTTATTTTGTAGATAGTGTATATTTTCCATTTTGGGTTTTTTTTTATTTGAGTAGAAATCATTTGGCCCTTCACCCTCAATACCCTTTTCCATTCTACTCATAGTAGCTTCGGTGTGGCAAGTACCCCCGTGGGGACTTGGATTTGATTGGGTAGCGACTGAGGGTATAAGACATTGAGGATCTTGGAGCAAAAATTTGTCCAAAGAGTATTCGGAGATAATCCCAGTTGCTTTCGAGTTTTATGCTAACTGCCAGACATAAATACCCAATTAAGAACATTAATGCTAATGTTACTACTATTCAAGAGCTCCAGTTGTAAATTCAGCAAGTTTTCATGCTAATCTTCTCAAGAATCTTGAAGGGCTAACACATGATGTCCTAAATCTTGACTTGAACAGTTAATGCAAATACTAATTCTGTATCTATCTTACTTTGAATTATTGGAGCTCCACACCGAGTTTGAAGAGTTAGCTGAGGAAAAGGGGCATGTGCATGAGATGGGAGATATCTCAAATGAGAAATTTTGAAGAATCAGTGCAATTGCCTCCTTTGCTTACATCATTGCAAAGTTCTGGCCAATGCGAATGCGAGGGCCCAAGCCAAATGGGAGGAACGAGTTTGGCGGCTTCTTGGCAGCATTGGCCACTCTCTCCGGGTTGAAATCTTTTGCATCTTATCCCCAGAGTTCAGGATCATTATGAACCTGCATTGCATTTCTGATCAGCTCCACACCTGGTCCTGGGGGCAGAGTTACTTCGCCTACCTTTGTCTCCTCCTAGATTGAGCGGAGTATCCACAGTGCTGGTGGATACAGCCTCAGAACTTCATTCAAGATCATGGTTACCTAAAACAAATGATGGAAGTTTTTCACACAAAATAAGTAATAATATGCATAGAAGAGAGGAGATAAAAATTGAGTTTCAAAAAAGAAAGCTTGATCAAAGGAATTAAGCCCTCAAAATCTGATTTGTTGGTATTCCCAAAGACACGAAAAACTTCCTGTCGAGCTCGTTCTTGCCAATTTTGGTGGATGGCCAACATAATCATTCATAGTCCACACAAGCACATTCGAGGTTGTCTCCTGTCCAGCAAACTAGAATAATTTGCAGTCCTCAATCACTTGGTCATCAGTCAGTCCAGCATTCTCTTTGTTCCCTTTTTCTTGAATTGCTTTGGTTTTGGATTCCATCATTATGCCTAACAAGTCCTCAGCCTTTTCCCCAACTCTCATTCTCTTCGCGCTTGAACTCATCACATCCCTCAATATAGCTCGGGTTTCAAGATCTATTTCCTTCAGTCTCCATACCATTTCGCCATGTTGTTCAATTGCCTCTCTAGCTTCTTTGGTTGAAACCATATGTTGTTCAACATCTTCCATGCCCAAATCAGACGTATCACCAAGGAAATGGTGACCAAAGAAATTGAGTTAACTTCTAACATTAACTTCATTGATTATAAATGGGGCTACAGGGCAAGCAGCCTATTTAAAGACAGAGAAAAAAAAATGTAATATTTCAGATTGAACATTTTTAATTCAGTGCAAGAAGTTTCTTTAATGGGAATAATTTTCTTTTTCTTTTTCTTTTCCATGAGAGAGATGGAGTTTTAACCACAAATGGATCCAAATGAGGTTTTTCATGTCATGCTTAGGAAAAGAACAATAAAAGTTCTTGTCTTTTATGAAGTCTCCCAAACCAATAGAAGTAATTACATGTATACTAATTATAGTTTTCATGTGTTTTGATTTTTCACACGTAAAATAAAAGTAACATACAACAAATGTCTTGATTGCAGCATGAAGAAAGCGCCCCAACTAAGACTTAAAACACAGAACAGAGAAATTGATATCCCTATATTTTGTGTAATATCATGTGAGCTCCAAACCGGGGTTGAAGAGTTAAACGAATCTGAGGTCCATGCAGATAAGATGGGGAAAGCTCAAATGAGAAACGTTGAAGAATCATTGCCACTGCCATTTTTGCTTCAATCATTGCGAGATTCTGGCCAATGCATATGCGAGGACCCAAACCAAATGGGACATAGGAATTGGGTTTCTTTACAGCCTTTGCAACTCCCTGAGAGAACCTTTCAGGATTGAATTCTTTAGCATCATCTCCCCAGAGCTCAGTATCATGATGAACGAACATTATATGCAAAAGAAGTTCCACACCCGGTGGCAGAGTTACATCTCCCAGCTTTGTAGTCTCGTAAGTTTTCCGGGATACCATTGACACCGGTGGATATAGTCTCAGAACCTCGTTCAGTATCATTGTTACCTGCAACCGCAGTGACATAACATTGCTAATTAATGCCCATATATTAGTTTATATTCTTTCACAGGCCAAACATTGGCTGAGCTCCGATTTTATTCCACTCAACTTTGAGCTTTATAATCACAATTGTGTAAGAACCCATTTGCGAGCTTAGCTTATTCAAGAAAAGAAAACGGTTCCGCGTATGAGGCTTATAAACTGGAGATGATGATGATGAGATTGGAGATGGAAAGAAACTTAATAATCGAAAGCGTAGCATTTGTGCTGTGAAGAATATAGTAGCATTATAACAAGAAATGCTAATCTAATATCGATTCAATCAAGAGGGGGTTTGTTTGTCAGCTGTTCATGGTCCATAACAGCTTGGCTGGGGTGATGAATTATGACGGAGTTTTCGGATATGTTGGATTTGTTTAGTGCGTAACCAGTCGTGATCATGTTCGGTACTGTCCAATAATAAAGCGAGATGGGAACTGGGAATGGGCAAATGGCGGTGTCGTGCTTTCCCAGGTGCGATTTTCGGATTGGGACTTAATGATGTGATCGGTGGCAACGCTTGTTGCGGTTACAACGGACGATGCTGTCTGCTTCTTGTCTTTGTGGCCTGGTAGTTAACTCCCAGCCTTGTCTACCTCCTCGGTCACGCTTTCAAGAGGCACAGCACTCTAATGCGCCCGAATGGGCACTTTAGGCAATGACTAATGGTCTGATACCATGATGCTCTAGTTTATTTTCATTGGGAATGAATCCTTAATTAATTAAATTGAGTGTAAATACTATTTGGCAGTCCTCAACTCTAAGGCTGGATTTGATAAAATTGAAATCTGAAATCTGAAATTTGAATCTATTAAATTATTGAATTGTTAAGTATTAAATCTAATACATTTAAGTATATATCATATTCAGTGATAAGTGAATAGTTTATCACTTAATTTTTAGAGCAAATTTTGCCTAGAAAATTCAGTGCTACTTGATTAATTCAGATGTTCAATTTTTGGTTATCAAACGGTTTGAATGTATTAAGATCTGAATCCATTAAATTTAAGTTCTAAATTGGGTTATCAAACAAGGCCTAATGCTGCATTTGACAAAATTGGAGTCTGAAAATTGAAATCTGATGTTTGAATCCATTAAGTTATTGAATTGTTAAATTATTAAATTTGAATTTTGAGTGTATATCAATTTAAGTGATAAATGAATAATTTATCACTTATTTTTAAGAGCAAGTTTTGATTAAAAAATTCAGTGTCACTTAATTCATTCAGATGCTCAAATTTTTGTTATCAAATACGTTTGAATATGTTAAGATCTGAATCCATTAATTTTAAACGTTGAATTAAAATATCAAACAGGGCTAAGACACCTGCCTAATGATTGGGCCAACCCAATGGTATAAACTCTTGTTAAACTCTACAAGAAAGAGTGCAAGAAGCCGACCGAGACCCAGATGGTAAGAGGAACATCCCACAATCTGGGAGGAGTATACACGTACCGTTGCCAAGTTCGGATTTGAATCCCTCACCCTGGCAGCTGCCAGGAGCACATCAAGAGTGACCCTTAACAAACATTCTAAATCTTTTTTGTTTTAATTTTAGAAGAACAAAGGGACACTTAAATGGTAATAGTAGAAAAACATAATATTTAAGCTTAAATGGTTTTTTTTTTTTTTGGTGATTTTAGAGTGGGAAATTGCACAGTGTTGTAGAAAAACACACTAGTAGAGCAATGTATGCTAGAGAAAAACATAGGGATACATAGGTTTTTCCTTCTATGTCATGTTTGCTTCATTCACAGTCTCTCTTTCTAAAACCACAAGGCTGAATTTGCAATTTCCTCTAAAAGCGGTATTCGAGAGTCAGGATTGGGAATCGGGCCCCTAAAGCGAGAAGTAACAGTGAGATGGCCCAAGGTTCTTTTATTGCGTTATAGAAATCAACGCCTTGAATTTACGTTGGTCAATTTTACCTTGAAAAGTTCTACTCCTACTAGTTTTTGGAATTAATGTGTGACCAATTCAGCTAAGCTCGTAAAGACATTACTTTTAGTACTAAAATCTTTGACTTCCTCTCTCCCCTTTATAAGGATTAAATTCTTCTCCCTAGAACCCAAAAAAAAAGAAGGAAAAAAAATCCTCACAATAGGAAGTAAAGCCTCAGGATTTAGTCCTACTTTTACTTTTCAGAAAACAACCTTCAAGAAAGAGAGGACTTTCGTCATTCTTTTTACTTTGCTTTGGATTAATGTTATATACGTGTTAGCGTAAAAAAAAAATTTTTTTACACTAAGAGTGTGTGTATATGTATACACACACATTTCCTTTTCTCTTGAACTATGAATTTTCATATCCTTTTTATTTTTCCCTTTTCTCTCAAACTATGAAATTTCATAACGTGGTAACTTTGATAGAGCAAATGACATAAAGAATTTTCTCCTCGAGACCCATTTCATACTCCATTCAGAAATTAACGCAAAAGATGAGAATCTTATACCCTGTTTGATAACCAATTCAATACTTAAATTTAATGGATTCAGATCTGAACATATTCAGGCCGTTTAATAACCAAAATTTGAGCATCTAAATTAATTAAGTGATAGTGAATTTTCCAAGCAAAACTTGCTCCCAAAATTAAGTGATAAACTATTCACTTATCACTAAATGTAATATGCGCTCAAATATATTAGATTTAATATTTAACAATTCAATAATTTAATAGATTTAGATTTCAAATTTCAGACTTCAATGTTATCAAATGCACCCTTACTATCTTAGTGAACATGTTCAAGGTTAGAAGACTATCTTAGTGAGCATGTTCAAGGTTAGAAGATTAAATCAACATTATTACATTAACCAACCTTTCCAACTATGATCCTAGCCAAGAACCAATGGACCTAGTGAAATGCGTATTCTAGATACGCAGGTCAACACTCAACAGGGATGTGTTTTCGTGGGGTTTGGGTTTGGAGACTATGATATAATCTGTTAGAAAAGGGGCACTAGATTAGAGAGATTAACACATAATTGTGACCTTCCACCTAACTAGTGGTGCCATGGATATTTAGCTAAATTCCTTGATGTGCCACTTGTACCAATACTACTCTTTTTTTTTTTTTTTTCGGGAGTAACTTGTACCAATACTCAAGGATGCAAATCATCTAATTTTATTTTTATTTTTTAGAAATGTCCAAATCATCTAATTTGGTTACGTATCTTGGGTTTAATTACGAAGAAGATAAGCCAGGCTGACTTCGTCCTGCGCTTTGTCACACGTTTGCATTGATGTTAACGGCGTCGTAAGGCATTGTTTCAACTTTGAATTTGTGAAGAAAAACAAACTTCATTGGCGAAGAATATTCCGTTATTAAAGCAAATGATTAAAAGAAGGAAAAGTTGAAGTAAAAACTTACTTAAAGGAATGATGCCAAAGAGGTTTTGATTTAATGACTAGAAGTTGAAGTTTCAAAATTTAAAAATTTTATATTTAAATCTCTCTTTCTCCTTCCTTCCTTCCGTACTCTCTAAATCTCACTCCTCTTTATTAAAAAAAAAAAAAAAGACATCAAATACAGACTGAAGTACACTGTTACACTCTCTGGAATTTTTGATGAAATGAAACAGTATGCTTTCTCTTAGTGCATCAGGTGAGATTTGAATGTCCGATGGTGCACGTGCACGGAAGCACTCTATGAAGCTATTCTTGACCGTCGGATGGATCAAAGTCAAATGGTTACGTAATGAAGCCAATCTCAAGTGAGTGCCTAAATGTCAATGCCGACAGCTACCGTTATCTGCTTTGAGAAACACGGGGATTGGACAAAAAGATATGGGCACACAAATTGATGGGGAGGAAGGAGGGAAAGCAGTACAAGATCACTAAAAAGAAAGAAAATTTTTTCTGTTCTGTGACCAAGAAGAAAGTTGTGGGGCAGCGGAAAAGGTGAAAGAAAAGAATTCGAAAAAATCAACAACAATAGAGGCGGGTGAAATATGCGCAAATCAGCAAGTTAAAAAAGGAAAAAAGAATGAATAGTTAATGGGCGAAGGGGAGAGATTGCGGGGCAAAGAATCTGAATAGAGGATTGGGGAGCAATTTTTCAGTATAGTTTAATCCTCTTGCAAGAATTGGGCCCAGAAGAGAAGCAGACTGGTAAATTGGTGAAGTGGGCCATGGTCATTTTTATGGTAGACTTATTATGCGTGCTGGTGCTGACGCAGGAGAGCGAGTCAGATATGGCAATGTAACTAAAGTACACTGTTCGTTTGGTACTTACTACTACATGCCACACCCCAAAAAATATTACAAGCCTTATTCTCCGTTGTTTTTAATTTTACAAAATCTGATTATAAAGGCTGATTATTAAGAGTAATAGAGATTGAATACATAGATTTTAGCTATTTTTTTGTTATTAAAAAATCTATTATTAGAATGCAAAAGTAATCGATAATTACAAAAAATCGATTAATCAAAATCATAATATATAATCAGTTAAGATGATCAATGAGAACACGCCTATAATTGATTACTCCAAAAAAAAAAAAAATTATAATGGATGACCCAAAAAATTTCAAATTAATTTTTTTAATATACATGGAGACATAGAAGAAGTATTGGTCAATATACCAGACTCTTGGATTTATATACAAGTGTATTATAATTCTGGTAAATTTTATCTCTTTAAGTATGGTAAAATTAATATGGAATTTATGTCTTGTGTACGCTGTTGAAAAGACTAATTTATTTCTTGCAGTGACATGTATCAAAATAATTTACTTGTAGTTTAAAAATTCATGACAAGATAAATGCCCAGTCTACTACACTTGTGCATGTACAAAAAGATGATAAATAAACATTTCCATTCATCTCATGCATGTTACACGCTAAAATTTGTAGTGCTTATAAGCTATACTAGATGTACATTACTGAGACATTACTAGATGTACTATAGTTAGGCGTTTTAATTCTTTGCCTATAGTTAGGCGTTTTAATTCTTTGCCTATTAGGTCTTGCTTGGATTGCAACTTTCCGTCGGAAAATTACGTTGTTTTTCGTGATCACATTTTTCTATCACCTTTTTCCCTCACATACATCAAATCGCTACAGTAATTTTTCCATGAAAAATGACGGAAAATGCAATCCAAACACAACCTTAGATTATAGAGTAAATGTTCTTCTAAAATAAACGTTCCCTTGAAACAAAATATCATCCTATATTCTAGTGCAAAATTCTTATAAGAATAGATTAAGAAGAATTGAATCCTTGCTTCAAAAAAAAAAAAAAAAGAAGAAGAAGAAGAAGAAGAATTGAATCCTCGTCCCAGACACAGAGTAAAGCAAAAAGGGCGTGTAAGAAGCACCTGGGAGTAGAGCTGTTAATCGAACCGGGTAGCTCGCGAGCCGAGCTCGACCCGGCTCGATAAGGGCTCGACTCGGCTCGTTTATTGAGAGAAACGAGCCGAGCTCGAGTTCAACTTGATGCTCGTTTAATAGACGAGCCGAGCATAGCTCGACTCGTTTAAGCTCGACAGGCTCGAATAGTAGGGGTATTAGTGTCATTTCATTATGTATTTGATACTCTATAGGCTCGATAGGCTCGACTTCGAACTCGAAACTGCTCGAATAGTAGGGGTATTAACGTCATTTTTATTGTGTATTTGATACTCTACAAGCTCGACAAGCTCGAGCTCGAACTCGATAAGCTCGACTCAATTTTGAACTCGAGTTCGAGCTCGAGCTCGAGTTTTCTACCGAGCATATCGAGTCGATCTCGAATAGTTTGTGAAGCTCGAATTACTAATCGAGCGAGCTCGAGCTGGCTCGATTAGGGGTTCGAGTCGAGCTCGATTATCACATGCTCGAGCTCGACTCGGCTCGTTAACAGCTATACCTGGGAGATACTGATATATCCCACTTCCATAACGGATGATGCAAGAGAAACAAAAAAGTAAAGCTAAAAGGAAGAGGGCCCTCATAAAAATTTGGAGTCCTCTCCGTCTTAGGTCCAATAAACATTAATGTTTGGATATCAAAAAAAATTATTCCAAATAATATTTCGCTTGCATCACAAAAACATTTTCCAACCTACCTTTTTATATTCTCAATCACCTTTTTATCTCACATACATCATATCACAAAAAATGTTACAATAATTATTCCGAATAATATTTCAAATAATACACTATCCAAACAATAGTAACCACTGAGCATTGGCCAGTTGATACTAAAAAGTGACTAAGTTACTCTTCAAAGGATAGGTCGGGGGCTTGAACCCCACTTACAATGAAAGTGAATTTAAAGGAGGTGTCAAAATACTCCTTTAGTCTAGTCAGATTTATATACCTGCTAATCTCTTACAGAGCCTCTCCCCTGTAGAATAAAATAGATTAATGTATACAAATATTATTGATGTCGGAAAAAAAAAAGTTACAGACATTTAATAGTGAGAATTGGTTCTCCAATGAATTTGTGGGTGCAAGTAAGGGTGTAATCGAATCGAGTAGTGCACACTACTCAAACTCGATTCAAGTTAAAAAATTTGGACTCAAACTCGAATTTGAACTCGTCGAACTCTTGAAAATTAAGCTCGAATTCGATTTTATTTTGCATTACTCGAGATTGAATTCAAACTCATGCTTATTGAATCCAATTGAATTTAAGAAATATAAATTTATATTTTATATCATTTTCAGAAAAAAAGGGACAAATTAGACATTTCATATTAATAAATAAAAAATAAAAAAACATATGTGTGTATGTGTGAAGCTTGATTGAATTCGACTAAGTTTAACGAGCTTTCGAGTTTCACATATTAAGAACGAACTCGACTCGTCAAATGGTTTGAGCTGCTCAAACTTGAGCTCAAACTCGATCAATGAGAGTTCGTACTCGAGTTTTGACTGAACAAGCTCGCGAACTACTCAATCAAGTTCGATTTGTTTGCACCCCTAGGTGCAAGGCAAAGATGATTATAATTTAGTACGGTTGTTGTCTAGTTTGTTATACTTCTTATAATATATCGTGTTCATCTTTCATAGACTGTTGTATTTCTTATAAGATTTATTGTGCACAAATAAAATCCATACTTATAATAAATAAAAATACAATAAGATGCACACAACAGAATAATATAAGGTCTGCATAGATTGGATTTTTTTTTTAAAAAAAAATGTACCATATATATATATATATGTAGAAAAGTTTTGTTCGTATGATATGTTTTAGGGTGTTTTTTAAATTTTGAATATTTTTTAAGGCTTTTTTAAAATTTTAGAATTTTGGGATATTTTAGGAGAAGTTGGGGATTGGTGGGTAAGGGTGGTGGTAAAGAAAGAAAGGGGTAGTGTTTTTTTTTTTTTTTTTTTTTTTAAAGCTTTGTTATACTAATACATTTACAGTGTGTTAGTGTAAATTTGTATTTGAAAAAAACTGTTTTTTGACGAAAAACACTAATTCATACATAGCCATATAAATATATTCCAAAACATGAAACAAATAAGTCAATCACAACCCCACCTGTTTGGACTTTGGATTCCGAATTCGTCCAATTCAAACCTTATACTGTATATTTTGGCACTGCCTTGTGCATATTCACCAGAATATTTTCTGTACACTAATCATGCGGGAATGTACGCCATCAAACTAAGGAGGCCTTTATCAGGGATTCAGGATTGTCCCGAACAGCTGCAACGTGCAACCTGCTGTGGAGGGCCTGGAGGTGGAGGTCCCCCGGACCACGGCCGTGGAGTTGTTAGCATTAATGAATCATCAGACAGCATGGCAACGTCGGCAAGCAGTCGCTTTTCCCGGCCGGCCCTACCTCACGACACCTTATCCGCCATTGTATCCAAACCTTGACCTTGGGTTTGTTTGGATTGTGGTTTATTTTCAAAATATATTTGCTTACATCATCATTATAATTTTCAATACATCTTTTTATCTTTTCAATTATCTTTTTATCTCATATACATCACATCATAAAAAGTGTTACAGTAAAAATATCTCTAATAATTCACAATCCAAACAAACCCCTTATTCGGGTGTTAAAAAGCTAGTACGCGGTTAAGCAAGCATGAAGCTTTTTTCTGAAACAAGAAATAGCAGTTACTGTAGTTATCACATATTACCGGAGATTCCATTGTCAGATTATCTGCCAAGTCATAGTGCCAAATTATCCCAATTGCTTTATCCCAATTTGTAGTCATCTTTACGATAATAAATAATAAAGCCTGTGTAGTTAATCTGATGTTTATTTTCAAATTTATTTTTATCTCTATTATCAACTCGCACACAAATTCTACGCAATCAAAACTATTTCTCTCCGGTCTTTCTTTCGATAGGGTGATGTTTGAATTGTAGTTTTTCACAGCAAAATTTTTAAGTTTTTCATGAATGTATTTTTTAATTATCTTTTTTATCTCACACGCCTCAAATTTCTATAATAAATATTTCTACATAAATTTCAAAAAATAGCAATCCAAATGGACCTAAGTTTTCATTATTCCAGTGGAAGAAATCTTATTATTAATAAGTAAATTTTCCACCAAAGAAGGTGCTGGTGGGATCGTATTTTAACAGATCCACATCTTGCAAAAGATGAAAATTATTAGTTCATGCGTGTGGTCTAAACCACGCGCTGCTGCCTCCGACCCTTGCACTGCGCCTACTCCAAAAGTTGCTTTGCATGTGCCTCCAATTTGGTCAGACCACACGCCTCTTCCAACATATTACCGCACATTTTTTGCATCATGATTTTGTTTGCCTACATTTTGTAGTTGTAATCCAATAGTTTGTTCAAATACGTGTAGTCGTCGTAAGAAAGCTAGTTTAACGTGATTTAATTTACATCAAATATGAGTCATTAGTTTGTTCAAATGCGTGTATACAGGAAGGAAAGGAATGAATTAAGTGGCAGTGAAAATTCTAAGTTCGAAACATTTTATTTACACTAAAAAAAAAATTAAAGACGTGTATTGATTTTATTTAACTCATTTCTCAATTCTCATCATTCTCATAAGCTTTGGCCACTACAGCAATCTTTGCTTTTTGTATACTTAACAATTTGGCATCAAATATTTTGTGGGTGTTGTTAAGAAAGCCAAAAACAAAAAAAAAAAAAAAATTTATTTTTACAATAATAACGCTTGTACAAGTAGTTAACTTACTGTTAATTTTGTAGATAGCTAGTTAAAATTCATTTTTATAGATATCATCGTCTCCTTCCTTCTCTAATCCTATTTCCCATTTAATCTAAACACTTCCTTACATTCATTCAACTGTCCACATGTGTCGTTGTGAAACCGCCACCACGCACTATACTTCAACTCCACGACACCGTTTTACTGCGTCAGAAGCACAGATCTTCAAAACCCAGTGTTGACTCACGCCGGTTGCATATGGCCCCTGTTCCATAGGAATGCCTATATAGTTTGGATTTTTTAATGCTATTTTGGCTTTCTTGTGGAGTTTGTTAGTATAAATTTGGATCAGGGTTGTGTATAAATTTGTTTCTTTTCTTTTCCTTTCTTCTTGAAGGAAAAAAAAAAAGTTTAGACGTGGCAGCAAAATGGGAAGTGTATTGGAGGCAACACTACTACATCATGTAGGCATTGTGTTGATAGTGCTATGGATGCTCAATTCATTCAATTACTGCAACCCAGTTGCCTACTTTATCTCTTTTGTCTATCTTTTTCTGGTAAGTCAGCTTGTATGCTTTTTGTTTTTGTTTTTTTTTTTTGATGGTTGGATTGGATGCTTGAGATGTTAAAAGTTTTGATTTTGACTGATGAAGGTTCATGAGATGTATGTGGTAAGATTGAGGAAGACACTGGAATTTGAGGAGAAAAGAAACTCAAATCAAAGAAAGGTAAGACTTGTAAGCAAATTCTTCCAGCTGTATTCCTTTGGTTACTGTGGGTGATGAAATAGACTATGCGTTGGAAAGATGATAGCAGAAAGGTGGCATGAAAAGTTTGTTTGAAACTGAATTGAATTGTACAATTTTCTTTGATTTCTGGCTTTTGCTGTTACTGATGGGTAATAAATCTACTTTTCAAGTGAAGGGACTTTTAGGATTTAGATTCTTTCACAGATACCGTAGAAGTGGTTCTCAGGCCCCTCTTCTTTTGCTTTTTGCAGATTCTTTCTGACTCTGAAACAGTACGGTGGTTGAACCATGCCGTTGAGAAGATGTGGCCTGTTTGTATGGAGCAGATTGTTTCGCAGAAAATATTATTGCCTATTGTGCCATGGTTCTTGCAAAAGTATAAACCATGGACTGTGGTATGTAATTAAATTCCTCTGTTGCGTTATCAAAAGGTTATATAAGGATGCTATTGTTTTCTGCATTCCAGTTGTCTGTCTTATTGATGCTATTTGGAAGGTTAGTTTGTGGTTGTCACGCAACACTAATATGGTCTTGATCTGCGCATCACTCTTGATTGCTTCGTGATATCTGCAGAAGGAAGGAGTTGTTCAAGAATTATGCTTGGGGAGATCCCCACCAATGTTTACAGAAATGAGGGTTCTTCATCAATCTAAAGGCGATGATCACTTGGTATGTGGTTTGTGTTAAGAGCACTACTCTTCAGCAGTTTGCTAGCACATTTTTCGTTAGATTCATTTGACGCTTATTTCCTCATACTGCTTATCAATTGCAGGTACTAGAGTTGGGACTGAACTTCCGAACTGCTGATGATATGAATGCATTGCTTGCAGTTAAGCTGCGGAAAAGATTGGGCTTTGGGATGTGGGCGAGGTTGCACTTGTTAGGCATGCATGTCGAAGGAAAGGTAGGTTACCCGATTCTCAAGTCCTAGCCTCAGTATGGCATCTTGGAAGAATCGTGCCAGTTTCTAGAGAATTCTGCATGTACTATATTCGTAAATGCATATACTTGCTTTCTATTTAGCTTCATTTCTGCCAACTGAGGATTTCTCATTTGTAATCTTCTAATAGAATGAATTGCTGTAGTTAATAGTTATGCTCCACCAGCCTATTTGTTGCCAAGGAAAATGATTACTTCTCGTAATAGTTCATGCCCTGAGACAAATTTTTATGAAAATTTTCACTATTTTGTTTTCAGGTCTTGGTTGGGGTGAAGTTTATACGAAAATGGCCCTTCCTTGGTCGTGTGCGTCTATGCTTTGTTGAGCCACCATACTTTCAGATGATTGTGAAACCAATATTCACCCATGGCCTTGATGTTACTGTACTTCCAGGGATTGCAGGATGGCTGGTAAGTAAATGTGGAAAGATCTGTTTAAATGTCTCTTTTTGTATGTCTGAGAGCATGTGAGTACCTCAAGCGTGCGAGTCTGTGTACCAGTTTATCTAACTCATACTAATCGTCTACTTTCCTGTTTATTAGGATAAACTTATGGCTGTTGCCTTTGAGCAGACACTTGTTGAGGTAATATTCTTGGACCTATAATACTTCATTTGCAATCTTCTCAATGATTAGGAAATTACTGCATCTCGTTCTTTTTTAACATTTCATTCTTCATGTTCATTTATGAGGATAAAATTTGTTGGAAGTGTTCTTAATGCAACTAAACATGCTTGTGGAACTTTGCAGCCAAATATGTTGGTGGTTGATATGGAGAAATTTGCTTCACCGCAAGCAGGTAATTTCATGACCCAAGTTTACCAATTTAAGGTTCCAGACATTCTTGGGTTCTTCCCATGTAATGGTCCAACTAAGCATGTAAGCCAACATCTTGTTGATTTGATGGGATTCGTCTGATGCTGATGCTTATATTGGCGTTTTTGGAGGATTATGGAACTAATGTACTAATACTACATGCTGTAATAATCGGTAGATGTATTTGGTCCATTAGGGTCAGAGGAGCTTGGTTTTTGTTTGTATTATAATTATTGGGAAATATATGGTTGATGGTTTCAGTACAATGAGTGTATTATATTTTATAGTCCTCAAATAATACTTATTCCTCTTTATATGTTTGTTATTAATTTTCTGTTGATACATCAGAAAGCTGGTTCTCTATTGATGAGAAGCAGCCTGTAGCTTATGCTGTTGTTGAAGTAATTGAAGCAGCTGAAATGAAGCCCTCGGATCTAAATGGTGAGCTCAAACACGTTGATGACATCTTGTACAAATGACAATATACAATGACATGTACATGTGTATTCATTTACTTTGTTTTTCAGGATTGGCTGATCCTTATGTCAAGGGCCAGCTTGGTCCTTACAGATTTAGGACGAAGACGCAGAAGAGGACACTAACTCCAAAATGGCATGAGGAGTTTAAGGTCCCCATCCGTACCTGGGAGTCACCAAATGTTCTTGGAATCGAAGTTCGGGACAAAGATCGTTTTGTCGATGATAAGATGGGGTCCGTGCTTATTTTCAGTTTGGTTTTACTGCAGCTACAAAGAATTATATTTAAGCTTATCTTTTGAGTTTCTCAGTTTATAATTTGTAGAGTGGTTCTACTATCTCTCTTTCTCTCTTGAAATTTGCTTCCATGCCCAGATAATTTTTTATTAAATTGTCTCTATTTTCTGCATGTGGTAATTGGTTTCATTTTTGTTTCTTCTTGTGTCGTAGTGTTAGTCTCTTTTGATTTTAAACACCACAAGGGTCGTAAGGAAATTTTCTTCTGAACGTTAAGAAGCTAGAGGCTGTTTTCTATTACATATTTTATGTTCAAATTTTTTTGGTGAAAAGAGTAGTATGACTGACATCAAGGTGATTCCTTGTCCTCCATCGTGTGATGGTAATTTGATCTTGTGATCTAAAGCCTGCGAAACATATGAAATTTCTTACTACTTTTTGTAACGAAATAATGATAGTAGGGCCTCATGATATTTTCAGGGAATGTTCCATAAACCTAAATGAGTCCAGAGATGGCCAGCGGCATGACATGTGGTTGTCTCTACAGAATGTTAAAGTAGGACGGCTACATCTTGCAATTACTGTGACTGAGGGCAATGGAAAGGTGATCTTAGTGCTTGATTTAAGTAGTTACTTGCCTGTCTTTTTTAGGGTTCCCGTTGTGTTCTTGATGACAGTGATATATAATTACTAGTTTGCTGAAACCAGAAGAAGAAACTTGCAAGGATTAATTGATTGTTTCAGTTTACATTATTCCCAAGAGTTTAATTAATGGCTTTGCAAGACATATTACTCAATTATTGTAAAACCTGTGACTATTGTCGACGCAAACGTGCTTGAGGGCTTTGTGAGACAAGGTGCTCGTTCTTTCGGATTTTGTGTTTACTGTTGCCTGAGTAATAATTCATGTGCAGGGGTCTAATGAAACATTTGGAAAAGAGAATTTAGATGAATATAAAAGAGAGTCATTTGCAACCGATTCAACTAATCAAGGTTCCTTCTCATCGGTTACATCTGAGAAATCTCTGAAAGTAGCAGATGCTTATGAGCCTATAGATGTTGAAGGGCAACAGGGAACTGGGATATGGGTTCATCGTCCAGGGAGTGAAGTTGCTCAAATATGGGAGGCAAGGAAGGGGAAGAGTAGGATCCTTGACACCCACATTCATGGTGAGGGTGTTGACTCTGCAGGCACCTTCAAGTCAACAGCATCTGGATCACGTAACAATGACAGTAAGAATGCAGAAGAAACTGCAGGTGCTGAAAAAGAGCATTCTCCAAATGCTGTAAAAAGGGGCTTACATAAGATGAGTTCATTGTTTCATCGAGGACAGAGAAGTGAGAAGTCTGTTTGTGTTGAAGAGCCACTTCCACCGCGACACATTAATCTTCGATCCATGAATTCTGACGAAATTGGTGTGAAGTTCATAGTGGATGACCCTGTTACTGCTCCATCTGCTCAAAACATACCGCAACCAGATGGAAAAGAAAGTTCTGAAGATAGTGGGCCCGAAAGTCCACACAGGCGCAAGGTAAAAGACAGGGCAAAAAGCATTTTAAAGCAATCTGCTTATGGCATAAAGCACGCTCTTTCCAGGAAAGGATCAAAGAAATTTTATTTTGAATCAAAATCACAACCTACAGAAAGGGATGTTTCAGTGGAATCTACTACTTCTGAAGAGGATTTACTTCCATCAGTGGTTTATACCCCTCGTGTCGAACCAATCTCGGTTGTCTCCTACCCCATCTCTGATCATGACAAAGACTCCTCTAGTCCTAGTAAAAACAGAATCCAGTCTCCTTCGAGTGATGTTGTGAAGGATATTGTAATACAAGAAGAAAAGGTTATTCCCGAATCTAAAATAGGTGATGACGAATCCGGCTGCATTCAGAGAAATGAAGCAATTGAAGAATCTAAGAGTAGTCCCAAGCTGCCTGGTGGAGATATGAAGGTAGACAAATAGTTTTTATTTTTTTCTTAGGCTCAAGAGGTAGTTGGTCATGTGTTAAAAGTGCATACTGGTTGGGAGATAGCCTTGGCTTTGTAGATTGAGGTCTTTGGTGATCTGTATGTACAGCTGTTTTTGCTGGATATCATAGACAGAGTCATGCTTGTTTGATAGTACATAGTTTTTGGTTCCTGTAATTTGTTCAATCTGTTGGCTGATGTTTAAAACTGAAGAGATTTTCTGTAAAGATGTTCGAATTCCTTTTAGTGACGGCAATTATGAAAACTACCTTGGCACTTTTGCTGATATTCACTTTCCGCATCTTCTGCGACTGGGTAACTTTCTGTCTAATGTGCTCATGCATCGTGACACTACAGGTCCCAAAACGCTATATTGTCGTGACACTAGGGAATTGCCGCAGACTTAAACTCGAGCAAAAACTGCAGTTGTAAATCAGCTACTTTAAAGTCCAAACTTATAAGTACTGCATTTATAAATCAGATCCTTTCGAAATTTGAGTTCAGTATGAACAGCTATTGAAAGTTGTGTGTAGTGATCAATTGAATATCCTACTGTCTCCTTATTTTTAAGGCTATCTGGGAAAAAATTTCATTAACCACACAAAGAAGTCCATTCATAAGCTGAGTGCTAGAAGAATAGTATAGAGATTCAAGTATTATTTTTTGAGGGAGAGGGGGACCTTTGTGGCCCTTGACCCTTCTGCAGTCATTAGGTGTGAACCATTTCTTTTGTTTACTGATTTCGTTGTTTAAGACTACCATGGATCTGCTAATGATACTGAAACCACCAGAAAACACAGAAACAGCCAGAATGAAAACTCTAGGAAATCTGGGCAGGTGCGTAAAATGTATCATCTTTCAGGAGTTTATCCCCATGTTACATGCTTGGTGATGCCAATAGATAACAGAACAGCTGCTGTTGCATTTCTATGACTTTAAGCTGTCCCGGGGAAACAAAATTTTGTGAGCTCCAGCTCTTTCCCCTGATCAGCTACTCAGAGAACTAAAATCTGCTATCAGAGTTTTTTCACAAATTCAGAAAAGAAATCTGGGCAACCATACCAAGTGACGGATAATTCTCGTAGACATCTCATTGTTAGTACTGTTAAAGTATTCAGTTTGATCCCAGTTCAGCAGCAGAGAACTGCCAAAAGTTGCACATCTGACTATTCAGGCAAGTAAAACCAGTACATAGACCATCATATTGACAGCATATACAACACTTTCTCAATGCCAATGCAGGTGTTATTTAGCTGTGCCACCAGTGAAGGAAAGCAGGAACTTGGCTCAATCTATGACTAAAACCAATCAATGGGTCCCCTGACTTTTGCCCTCGAAGCATTAAATCTTTTGATTACTGACTAACATCACAACTACTTCGACTTCCATCAGCAGATCGTACACATATATCATGCTGGATTAGCTTCCAACAATTTCTTCGTAAGGGAAAATGGTAGGCTCAATCCTACCAGAAACCAGGCACTGAACAATGCGCTTCCACATCCCCATTTTGGGAACAAAACCCTGTCTTGTCATTTGTTTCAACGCCCATTCGACATCTCCCACAAGATTTTCATTGCAAAACCCCTGTATCACCAACTTGTAAGACTCGAAACTTGGATTTACACCCTTCTGAATCATTCTACACATAAAATCTTTCGCCTCAACAAACCTCTTGGCATCAAGTAAACAATACAAAACCTCCTGATAAGTTCCAGGATTTGGATCGCACCCTTTAATCACCATCCTATCATAAAGCTTAATACCCTCTTCAACTCTTCCACTCTTTTTAAGCCCGGAAATTAATATATTAAAAGTGATCGCATCAGGCTCAATACCATCCCTTTCCATCCTATCTAACAACCCAAATGCATCATCAGGACGCCCACGATCACATAAACCGTGCATTATAGTGGAAAATGTTCTCACACTAGGCCTAAAGTTCTGCTTCGGGAATTCATCAAGCACAGCAAAGGCAGCATCGATCTTCCCACATTGGCACAACCCTTTGATCATAATATTCAAACTACAAGCATCAATTTCAATTCCCAACCTAGAAGCACCCATATAAACCTCGTGAATAACTTCAAATTGCTTAGCTGAAACAAGCAAATTCAGCACAAAATTGAAGGATTTAACAGTAGGCCAGCTCTTATAACTAGGCATATAAAAAAGGGTCTTAATAGCACTATTTATTCTCCCACCTAAATTACCATAAATCTTCATAACATTAACAAAAAACTCCTCAGAAAGTCTGCATTTTCTTTCAAGCTTGATTTTTTCCATAAGGGCTTCAATTGCATCAAAATCTTTGGCTAGTGCAAGCTTATTTATGACTGTAGAGTAAAGGGCTTCATTGGGATTGTAGTCTTTCCTTTGCGAAATTTGGTTGAACAAAGGAAGAGTAAAGTTGGGATCTTTAAGGGATTGGAAAATTTTGATGGTCTCATTTGGGCTTAACCAGTCTTTGTGGTTGGCTAGGTTGGGGATATGGGATTCTTGGGATGGAGAAAATGGATGAGAGGACGTTAAAAAATTTGATCTTTGCAGAAGAGATTGATAGAACAGTGAAGATTTGAAGATGGCTAGCCGAAATTTGGCGTTCTTGACCAGCAACGAACGTGAAATCATGGTCTTCCCTCTGAGACTGTCCGACGAGCTACAGGATGGCTTCAAAGCTGCCTAAAGTCTGCACCTTTTATGTCATCCGTCTTCTGCATTTTTCTCATAATTTGATCTATCTTTTTCATTTTTTGTCTAAATCGTTTTTTGTCATTAATGTTTGATATTTTGGTTCTTTTTTATTTGTTGTAATAAATGTTTAAAATTTACAGGTGCATACAAGGCAACATATCCACACTAGCAAATTCTTGGCTCTTAACAATAATGTATACATTCAAACTTGTTATTTTCTTGTTTTTTACAAATTATGTCAGCACAGAATTGGACTTAGGGTTGAAAGAACGAGTCTAGAATAGATGCAATACTAAAACAATACCTTCAGCTGGCAGAATTACAGCAAAACAGTATACACCAGAAGTGTTTAAAATGTACTAATATCTTTTAGACAGGAGGTCATGATTTTTAGATCTAATTGCGGGAACATTTGTTTACAAGATCATCATATGCTTTGCACAGAGAATGTGAAATGCATTGATTGGTCTACACTGCAAATGAAAATCTGTTCAAGAAAGGAAGTCACGATTTAATTTGTACAACAAAATTATCTTGAATAGTCACCTCTTTCATTTATAGGGTGGAAGGCATTTTTTATTTTCCCACAATTTTCATAATGAATTATTCAGCCCAAATAAAAAAAAAATTAACTTAGGCGACATGTAAAAATTAACAAAATTATGCTAGTAAAATACACTAGCATCACAGCAAGAAAACATCATCATTTAAGTTCTAAGAATACTTGATGCGACAATTAAGTCCCCACTTTAAGCCTGTAAAAGGTGTATGATTGTCACTAGGACAATTCATTGTTATAGGCGGATGAATGCAATTGAAAGCCAATAGGAGCTTAAACATCTAAGCCTGTCTCCTTATTCCCTGAATAAATAATGAGCTTAGCATAGCATAATTGGTTGTCCTAACTATACACGAAAATGATTTTCCTATTACTTCTGCATGTACAGATCTTATGTACATTAAACTCGATTACAGTTAAGATCATCTATGCTTCTTCTTCTTTGCTGCAAGAATTGGTTGAATGTGCAGTCTCCTACTGAAAGCCTCGTTGAAAAGGAAACGAGTCTGGAAAGCTGAAATGATGGGAAGCCATGCCAGACAAGCAATTGGTGCAAAAAGAACTATACCCATGCCATAATCATATGCTTGAACAAAAACCCTGGTGAAATGCCACAATGCAGTGCCTTCAATCTTGGGTCTAACAGCTTGTGCAACCTGGATATGTTGTCACTTTAGTAAAAGAAGTGTATAGGTCATACATGACTGCTTTCATAATCAAACGAGGTTCATTCTGAACTTACCAATATCAACCCCCAACCAGTTGGCAGAAAGGCCAGACAGCAAACAACCAAATCCTTGAAAGATAGATCACAAATGATTGACAGAGTAATAATGGTAGCCAGAACTCCAAGGAAAATTAGTGCTTTAAATAGCCGGAATACTAGGTGATAGTTCGCACTGAAATATTTCCTCCCCAAGTTCACCACCTGTATATAGCATGTTTCATAGGTAGCACAGTTGAGGATCCATTACAAACTTGCATGAACGCGAGTTATAAACACATTTGTCTGTGAAGCTTAAGAAGACATGTAAAACTATAGCTATAGTTCTTTCAATCATATCGGCATCTCTTCCCTAAAGATGAAAACATAACAAAAAGGATGCACACATTGTCAAAAATTAGAAGATTGGGAGGTGGGATTTGGAATCACTACACAACAAGAAACACACTCCATTAAGCGCTGCTAGAATATCGTTTATAAGATACCATCCTTATTAGTGTCCAATTTGACTTCTGGTGGAGCTCAAACTAACATGTTCTCACATCCCGCCAGATATATCTAAAAAGAAAATAAAAAAAAAAACAGATATCATCTAAAAAGAAAATTTAAAATTTGATTTTTCATTCAGTCTCTGAAGCTCTGAATTTGATTTTCAACTTAAGTCCATCTTAAAGCCCAACAACATGGTGGAATTACTACAAGAAATTGTAGGTGACAATAAGGTAGCTTAAGAACAAGAGAACACCAATCCTGAAGCCATTAGTCAGGCACCTGAAAGCCTTAAATGATGTCTCTATAGAGTTTTTCCACGTCTATATCATGTAAAGAACCTTAAAAGTAAAATATTATTGATTGTGACTGATAAGGTTCCAGTCAGGTGAGTAAAAATGAAGGGGATGGAAACACACCATTATTGCATCTGATATGCATCAATTTAGTGCGATGTAATTGTCGCTACTGAATTATCAAATGAAAAAGCATCTAAACTACACATGTGGCACAAAGGGTTTATGGTCAAAGTAAACTTGTTGAAACATATTAAAGGCAACAACACTGATCTACATGAGGAAACAGCAGAAGGGAATTTTAATCTCATGCCTATAGGATGGGTTTTGAGTTACCTTGATCAGCAGAAAAATCATGACAATGACAACCCATGAGAGGACATAAACGATGAAATTTTTGTTTTGCCTGGATATGTCAAGGTGATAGACCAATCCATACTGATAAATGAAAAATCTAAGTGAAAGCAGGATTTCTATCAACCGAGAACCCAGCCCTGAATGACGAAGATGGTCTTGCTCATCATACCACCAGGACTGCCAACTCTTGTCTTGGTGGATTCCAATTCCACCTTGCTGCACAATCCACTTGTTCCAACCCTTCCAGTCATCAACTATCTTACCCCAGTTGAAACCCGAAGGATTAAACAGAAATGGCGCGAACAACCAAGTCATTGACATGAACCATATTGCATACGTAATTAACACATAAGCCATGTTGCTTTGGAAGGACCGCCTAAACAAATCATACACAATCAACAGAAGCAGCAACTCAAATCCTTTTACAAAGTGGCTGCGAGAGTACAGCCTATAGTTCTCAGTGAAGCTGGCATGGAAAACCACCACCTTACGGCCAGTTGGTCTATACTTGGCTCCTCCATGAAGAATAGTTCGACCATAATAGTGAGATTTTGTTCCAAAAGAAAAAGTAAAGAAAACGGCTGCTAGCTGCAGTTGCATGAGAACAAAATCTTTAAGAGCATTAAGGAATCCTCTTTCAAGTCCAATCTCTATCACCATAGGTAAGCCTGTCAAGAGCCCAAGCTGGATAAATGACTGGGAGGCCAGAGCAGTTTCTAATGATTTTATGTTTTGTATTCTAGCCTCAAGAAGCAGTGCTCTTTGTAAACCACTAAGGACCAGGTATAGCTGCCCATATAGGAATACGTATATTCCAATTACTGATATCTGCATAATGTCAACAAGCATGAATATTTATTCCAGAGTCTGCATAAGCAAAACGCAGACTGTAGAAGGCAAAAGGAATATAGACTTAATTTTGCATGTGAAAATTACTATTTCAACAGTAAGCAATCTTTCTAACGAAGAACTATTGCTCTCGGTAGAGAAACTGACAGAGATGCAGCATGAAGTGCAACAAATCATATTTACTTGATTCTATCGCATTTTTTTGGAGCAGAATTGGTGATATTTAAGAGGTTAAAGCACACTAATGTTTCAAGATTTTTTTGTTTTGTTCTAAGAATGTCTGCTGGAAAACTCTCGAGATTAAACAGAAAAGTGCTAGATAAAATCATAAAATTTGTAATTCACTTCAAAAAGAAGGATATTTGATTACCAGGCTGTTAAAGTAAAAGCCAATGGTGGTGAAATAACAAGAGAGCATTCGGAAGAAGTCAAATCGACGCCCAAGGCAGTATATATCACGGCTTAGAGTTTGTTCACTGTTGCCATTTGCTACTTTGGCTTCAAACTTTGAAATTTGGTTGAGACCAACATCACGCCCTTTGCCAACTTGCATATACTCGTGATAAGTGATATTTCCCCGTCGCAGTGTAGTATTAAAACCTACAGCACATAAAATTAGTTCACCAGAACAAACTAAAAATCCTACCATCCACAATTTTATGTCTTCAAAAGTTTGACTTGGCATGATACTTCTAACAAGAAAGTGCAGTATCTTTATCTGTAGGAACCACCATATGCAAAGACTGAAGTCTAAGGAGAAAGTTTGAAGCATGTGAGAATATTTAATTCCATACAAGTTAATTAGAGGAAACACATTAGCTTATAGTCTTAAGTTTTGTTTTCAATAAAAAATGGAGAATATTATCCAACGGATAGTAAAGTAAGAGATTTAATAAAAAAAGTAATGCATCTACTGAAACAAGGAATCACTTTTACTACCTGCAAACACATCCTCGCTCAAGTTTACTGTCTTTGATGCTTTGCTAACTCCACCTCTTGTTAGGTGAAAAATTCTCTCAAACAAATCAGGATGTCCATAATGGAATCTAACCCTGTATTACAAGTTTAAGAGGAAAACGTCACACAAGCATAAGCACTTTTCTTAATATCAGATTAATAGAATAAAGAAATTGATAAAAAAAAACCCTGCATGCAGCTTGTCTGTGATAACTAAATGTCAATCGTACTTCAAAGTACTAAATAATTATTCATAGAATTTCAGGTTCTTGTGCATTACTATGATAGCTTGGCACCAATATGACAAAACAAGAAAAATTTTACATCTCAGTTGTAAAAAACAAACATCAGCTAATATCTCTTTTATTCTCTAGTCAGAAGACACCAATATAAGTTATCATACATAAGTAATAGAACAAGGCATTAATAACCTGAGTGGATTAGCTAGAAGTCTTTGGCCGATGGTAACAAAGCTGGTCTCTTGATATGACATGAACCATGCTAAAGAAGATACACTGCAAGTGGAGAGGTAGATAAGATCATTCAGCAGGTTTCAAAAAGGTGGTAGAAGTTATAATTGGACTTAGCCATATCCAGAATTAGTATTCATGAGTCCTAAAAGCTGACCTTCCTGTAAATATGTGTTCTCTCATCCCAAGAATTGTGGGAGGCCTCGGTCCTCGCTCGCGGAGGAATTCTTGTAAGATATTTCTCATCTTGAAAGCTTCTTCCATATAATTATCCTACAAGAAACAAGCTCAGGATGACAATATCCTCAACCATCTTATCTTCACCTAGTCAAGGCTGAACTTACTTGGTTCATATCTATTGCTTGGAGAGCTTCACCACGGGTGAAGATTATTGAGTGGTTCTGATTCTCGGGTTTTCCTTCCCCAATATTTGGTGGACCTGGGAGTTTTATGCGATATATCTCCTACAAAAGCGGAGGGATCTAAAAGTGAAGCACAATACTGATGTAGGAAAACAGAGAAGACATTGTTCAAATGCAGAGACTCAAACCTATCTTTTGATGGTATTAAGACTGTAGGAATGCATGTTTTTAGTTAATTTTGAACAGTGAATGCTTTCTGCTACCAAGAAACACACTTCTATGGAAGTTCAAGTCAATTATGAATAGGCATTATTAATTATTTTAATGTTCTATAGAGGGGAAACATATTTTGATGAATCCTGCAATTCTTTCATTCACTTTTCGTTTAAACATATGTTGCAGTTCCTCTTCCACATATAATTTGTATGCTGTGCTTTTACCATGCAAGCATATGGCCTGAATCACTTCATGGTCTTTGTTGTATGAATGCACTTCTATCAAATTAAGCACTTCTATCTTGTTCACAGTTCTTTTTAAAATGCTGCACAAATCAAAGGTGGTACCTGGTCAAAACCATTGACAGCTTTGACTAATACAGATGAATATACTGTAGGAGGCCTATCTGATACAATCTTCTCTTTCTCTGATACAATCTTCTCTTTCTCTTCAACATAAGCAACACGGAGTGAAGGATACCTACAAGAAACAATTATGTAGGTAAAACAAAAATGCACTAAAGAATTCTCAGTTTAAACAAGAACTACCACAATAGTCAATTGAAAAGTTCCTTAAATAGTCAACTCTCTTGCACACTTAGTTCGTTCATCTGCAATATCTATGCTTTTCATTAAAAATTTTACCTTATCATCAAGTCAAGTATGTCTTGAGCCTGAGGGTTTCCAGAAGATTTATGTGAACCAAACATTTGACAAGAAATAACATGCGTAAATTTCATGTCCGCAAGTGCATCAAGTTGAGCTGATAATGTATCGTTCCCCTTCCCTATGGCATCATAACCTTGAAGAATATCTGTTTAAGAGAATTCAAAATTTGCAACTAGTTTAAATGCTTATTAAGCAGGCAACAGGTTGAAAAAAAAAGGTATCAAGCTCTGCTTTTTTCTGTAATAAGTAACGTTTCATGCAATCATTAAAGAATAGTAGTAGGAAGCAGGCCAGTAATGACAGATACCATCATCTGCAGCCATGTCAAGAAATGCCTGCAACTTTAGGGCTTTCTGATAGTACATCATCCCCCGAACTGCAACGTGTATATGAGAAAACTTAGAAGTAAACTGTAATAGTTTTTAATTTTTATTATTCAGAAAACAGACACCAGTTTCCTAAGAATAAAATGGCACCACAAACCTGTTCGGCATAGAGTTTGCCCTCGAAAAGAAGCCCAATTTCTAAGATCCTCCTCATTTATTTCATCATTTGATGCATTAACGTTTTCAGTTCCAACACGTTCCAAAAAGTTTTCCCACTCATCTGAGAGACAATGATAAAAGGAGAGTTGAGTAATCTGGACATGCTTTAAAATATTAACTTTCCAATACTACTGAAAAGGAAAAGAAGAATATATAAATCACAGCCTTAAGAGGTCCTGTATGCAGTAACCTGGGAATATCTTCTGCATATAAAAGAGGATTGAAACGCCTTCTTTGTTAGAATGAAGCTCTTCTGATGAATATTTCACATCCTCCATGTAGTGAGGAGTCAGAACACTGTTTAAACAAAAGCCTCCAGGTCAGGACAAACTATAGGTATCACAATATCTTCAGATAATAATTAGCAATAATAGTATGTCATGGAATTCAATGACTATAATGCTGTCTCTTTTGTTGTCAAGTGGTTTAGTAATTAGAAACTCTACTATTAAATCAGAAGAGTGCCTGGCAATAATACTTCCAGAAAACCACCCTTATGTTTGACCTGAAAGATAACATGTTGCGCACTTTTGGTGCTCTCGGCATATCCATAAACAAAGAAGTTGCAAAAAATGAAATCCGTCTTTGAGCTTCCAAGTTTGATGGTATGTCCATGGCTTTATCTCTTGTGGTAAGCAGCAAAAGAAAACGCTTGATCTGACCCCAAAAACAAAAAAAAATCAGCTCTGCAATATTTATAAGTTTAATAATGTAAAGGAACCATGTATTTGCTGTTCATGAAACATGTATCATCGAAAGTTAAGATATGCACCTTGTCCACTATAAGGCCACTATCTGGCAGTGGAAAATGGATAGAACGAGCCGAAGCAAATAATTGTGGTTCTATGTGCGTGAAAAGTTCAGAATCATCTCCATCACGATGAGCATAAAGAGAATCCAATGTTCTGGAACATTTAGGCTGATATCAACATAATTGATTTCAATGCATGTTAGGTAACCAAAGAAATCCTTCTTCCAGCTTACCTACATCCCTTCAGCATCAGATCACTGGTAACAATTTCAAATATATCTTGCAGTGCTTTCACAACATTACAGTACTGTTCTTCATTTCCCTCAACCTTAATGAAGAAAAGGTATCAACTAGAAGGAGTTGGATAGGTGTCATGCTGAAAAATGAAGAGAAACCATTCGAGATTTGTGTGCAACATTTTACCAGTAGTTCGAGTAATTCAACACATTTAGTATGTAGAGCTGGTAATTCACTCATGTTCAAGTCCTCAAGAAGTGTTGAGCACCCTATACTTCCCTCGATTTCATCCAATATTCCAGATATAATCCTGAATGACCAACCGTACAAGATAAATGAGTATTCAAATTTTGTTATTAAAACATGCAGGGAACTATAGGGCATATAATGAAAAATAGATACTGCAATGGATCATTAGATTTGTTTATGGCATCAATTCATTCTACTTACTCTACCTTTGTTCAAAATCCCCAACTACAAGGATTTCAAGAATGTACTTCAGCGAGTCGTAACATTCAGTTACTACCAAGTACATGTAGTCATCTCTTTTAATCTTTCTCAAAAGATCAGCATCCTTTCCCGAAAAATCTCTTGCAATACTCAATGCAGTTGAGAACTGCATAGAAAGACCACAACTGAGAGATTTTTGAAAACAGCACTCGGGATCATCAAGAAATGTAGGAAACAATACCTTATTTGCCAGAAGGAAAACAGGCCAACGAATTTGGCCTGAGAACAGTTCTGATGACAAAGGCATTTTCATCAAATGCATTTCCCTGAGTTTTGAATATACCAGCATTAGTTTTCTACTATACCTCCATGGTCAAAGAAGAATCTGATATGCTTACACACCTGTTACTTATGAGGTCCTCTTCACGAAAGCTACTAATAATTTGGTTCCATAGGACAACGAATTTCACAATACTGTTCTTTTCGAAAGCCTGAAAGTTCATAAATTATCTAGAATGGAAGCAAGGAAGTCTTAGAATTAATAATAACTATATCATGAAATAGATTAGTCCATACCTTTTCTCTCAGGCAGAGGAACCACTTACTGATTCCTTCCTTATTATCTTTCTCCTTGTGTGGTATAAGATATGCACTGAATGCATCTGGCAAAGAGTGAAATCTAATTCTCAGCATTCCCAGTGTCCTAATCTGCAGAACATGATGAGTGAGAACATCTTCATACTAACTCTCAGCGAGCAAGAGACATATCCTACCTCACCAAGATGGTGAAGAATTCCATAAACTCCACCAAATATGGAACAATAGACAGAGTACCATATTTGTGCATCCATGAAATAGACCTGAAAACATTAGATAACTAATTATTTATATAATGACAAACAAAACTCTACATTAGCAAACAATACTTATTGCGGAAAATCATTTATTAACCCACATTTATTAACCCACATCAGGGACTAAGAGATTCATAAATACTAAATAGGGAAGCATTAAAACATTTTTCCTATGCTAGACATGTTGTCATACAGAGGATACTCAATGCTTTAAGTGTAAGGGATCATGTACAATAGAATTTAATCTTACAAGTATAATAGGAGCCCAAATAGCAGCAATTGCACCAGCATTACTCTTGACTGAATCAATAAACACAATGTCAGATTTTTCCAGTTCCTTCTATAACCACCTAATATTGAAGGGATGTATCAATAGACAATTACCTTTGGGAAAGAGCTCATGCCAATCATAGTTCTTTATGCCAATCCTCATGATCTGTCTAGTGGGTGATATAAGAGGTTTAATCTGGACAGTCGGGAAGAAATTAATACTCCCACCATTGCACTGGCAAGGATATATAGTTTGACTCTTTTGGTTAAACTGAATCTTTCACCAATTAACAATTTGTAATCATTCGCTTACAGAAAGTTTTAATTGTTTCAGCACAAGAAAATTTCAATTGCGAAAATGGAGGAAAAACATTCAAATGCTTACAAGAATTCTAGCTGGAAGACTTTAAAAAGAATCATACCAATTTTATGAGTGCAAAAAAATGAAAGTAGGTGGTAACACTAAGCGGCCAAAAATTTCCAAAAGATATGGAAAGACATTAAGACAACATAATCCCTTGCAATCATTAACATATTGCAATAATTAAACTTAGTGTTACTACATCCTGATTGTTCCACTTGAAAAACGAGATGGCTGAAGAAAGAACTCTTGAATTATAATGAAACAAGTATTGAGAAAATGCAGAAAGTAAAAGACTGACCTCAAATTGGTAACTGAATATGACCTTGCTTAGCATTAGAAGCACCCAAAACATAGTATACCTAAATGCAACACAAGGGATGCACACCTCAGAAATCCATCATAGGGAACGTCAATAGATAATGGAAAAGTTCTAAGGGAAAATAGATACTTGAACTGGGAAAGTTGGGTCTCTTGCATTCCACGTCCAACGTACAACCTAGGCTGAGTGATGCAAAAATTCAGAGGACAAAAAACCAGCCTAACAATCTAACATTCCAAAGGATGAAGACAAGTTGTACAGGATGATCAAGCAAACATGGGATATAGGAATTTATTTCAATGAAACTGAATGGATAAAAGCTTAACTTCGTGGGAACCAATAACAATGTCAATCTTAATAACCCTACAACTCAAGAAATATCAGATGATTTATGCCCATCCTGCGCCCAGTCAAGTATTGATTTCCTGGCTGTCTCCTGTTACAATACAAAATCTTATGCTCCCCTCTGTCCCACTAAGGTTGTTATTCTAGTGAATGGCATGGTACATGAGAAATTGATTTTTTCTTTTCCATCATTTCCACATATTACAACTGATATATGAAGTCATACCTGTCTCCACCATGACAACATTGTGCATATTCGAGAGTTTGAGGTCTCAATATACTTCCCAACCACAGGCACAAGGAATAGGACCATATCAAATGCATTAGTCATCAAATAGAATGCAACTGCGACCATATAGGAGGAATAGCACCACTCTCCAAGCCAGCTCTGGCTCTGTGTAGAATAACAAGTATATTTCCCTCTATGATTGATATAATATATAGGTAGTGTGATAGTCCATATCATTGGGACCAACACCTTCAGCACATTTCTTCTGATTTTATAGGAATCGATTGTGTTCCTTGCTTTCCATGTGAAGACAATGTCAAGAATAGCTGCAAGACAAATTATTTCAGTTTATGACAACTCAAAATTTGTATCCTGGAATTTTGAGAATTCACTCTGAATATCTTCATCAGGTTCAATTGAAACAATGAACATAAGATACATGCTGATGAAACAGAAAAGAAAAAAAGGACCCACAACAATCGCGAAATATCATGTTGTTCATGTGTCAAGCAAGAAGTTGTGGTACTTTAGTGGTAAGAATTTTTTCCTGCCCTGATTTTCTATAGCTTTCTGAGTTTCTGTCCGTTGTAAATGCATTTTGAGTCTTGCGACATTAACTAACAAAATTTCACCATATCTTACAAAAGTAATGAACCTCGTATAAGTTTGAGAGCTGCTGATGTGATGAAGATGCTCATTACGTCCTCAAGAACTGTTGCGTCAAACACTTCAAGTGGAGATTCTAAATCATGCGATGCCATGATTATCATTGCCTATACCAAAGGAAAAATGACTCAATGATCCTGATAGGCAAAACACAGATAATTACTACTCATCTCTCTCCTCAACGCACACCTGAAGGCATAAAATTAAGAAACTCCACATTCTATCAAAACTTCTGAAGATTTGCCAAAATGAGCGAATCTCCACAAAATTTGTCTTTCCTAGCCATTTTCCCTCCCGCACTTCGTGTCCTTCATTGGGGATGTCCTGAAAACCACCATAAGCATGTTTAATGATCCTAGGAAGCAATGGATGACTTGGATCTTGATAACAAAAAACATGGATGACTTGATATCAAATGTTAATGGCTTATATGAAGCTGGTGTCTAGGCAGAAGTCTGAGCAATATCAGTGGAGGTGGTCTGCACGGGAACTAATGCGTATTTTCATAGAAATTTTGTCATGCAATACTAAACTTTTATACATGCACCATTTTCCATAATTGATAATTATGGTTTGATGTTAGACATTTAAAGTGAAAGGCAAAGTTTACCTCCATTTCTTCATCTTCATTAGGACTCTTCTTGTCTTCATTAGTCCTGACTGATTGCCGAGGCTTTTTTGTTTTGCTATCACTGGAAGGGTCTATACAGAAAAAATCATGTTCCAGACGCATAGGCCAACCTATTTGAAAACAATCCTCAGACCTGTGCATTTTAAGGAACAAGCAACTCAGGGGTAATTTCAACAACCAATGGTTCAACAGATGTAAAAGATTTCAATTAAGCAAGGAATTAGAGTCTGACCAGAAAAACTCATTCAAGTCATCATAGTTCCTCCATGAAGAATGGTCAGTTGTTCCATTTCTGTTTTTCATAGCTTCCTTCATTGATTTGAATGAAATTAGTGTTACAATATTGAAGTACTTAGAGATTCAGCAAATGTCTCCTTAAGTGCTCTAACATTTAGTACCTCATGTATGACTTTATATAGATGAAAGACTACATTATTAAGAAAAGACTCAGATCCTCCTCCATACACTGGCATAATCCGTTCTCCAGTTTCCATGCTTACAGCACCAACTAGCAAGCTATGTAGTTCATATGCCATCTGAAAGAACACGTGAAAAAAAAAATTCTTTCAAATTAGAGAAAGTTTTACTGGTCAACAAAAAAAAGTTCAAAAATATCTGTCAGGGAAAAAAAAATTGAAATCCATGCAGAGCTCTAATCAGCAAAAATCAGTTGCAATATAATTGAGAACACCTTTAACATAGGTTTCAGGAATCTAAATGGATAAGTGTGCAATCCAACGGGTGTATAACTACTCATTGCACAAATTATAAGATCAAGATTGTTACTTCCAAACCATAACTCAATCATATATGCAGTTTCAGAACTGAACATTTACATGTATGTTTATGCATATCTGAGAAAAACAAACTAAGGTAAAAGATAAAGTTTCCTAGAAACAAAGGGGTCCAAGTAAAGAATATTGCTTATCAGTAAGAAGCCAGAGAAGAAAACAAACAGAGGAAGTGAGCCGAGAAGTCAAGTGAGGCTAAGATTGGAGACACAACAAAGAAAAACAACTTAAAGAAAAATCCAGTCTGAAGCTTGGATAGGAAAGCTCAATATCAAAGTTGCCATTTTACCATAAAATGGTTCTTCCAGAGAAAGTAAAACAAGAGTTGCCGTATTGTTAATCACAAAGAGAAACCATAAGTAGTGCTGACTTATAGAAAAGAGTTTTCTTTTCTCTCCAATTATGGACATGATAGTATTACCTTTACTTAGGTTTTGTGGTTTATGATGTAAGAAAAATCTTACTAAATCATGATTTGTCTTATGGTCAGAATAATGTAGACTGAATCAAGCAAGAAACATGAGGATGAAATACTGAACAATCTTGCTAAAACGATGGCTAAGATGCTTTGCACATTTTGTATGAGGACGAAATACTGAAAGACAATGAACGAACAGGTAAAGCAGCCAAAAGAAATGGCACAACATACATGGTGAAATATATAGCAGAGGCACTCTGGCATAAATCTTAAGTTTGCAGCCTCTCCCCATATTAGAAGATAAAGTCCAATATAAAGAAGTTTATATTGTTGGGCTTCCTCCTTCAGATATGGCAACCTGCATTTAAAGCAGAATATCAGAAAAAAAATCCCTGGACTTTACTGATAATTATCTACGATAATTTGAATGAGAATGTCAAACAATTACATTGCAAGCTGAAGAAGAGATACAAACTATTGCCCTAGGGAAGTTCACTGAAGCCATTTACACCACTAAATACACTAGAGAAACTTCAAGGGCATAGGTGACAGAAAATCCTATCCTGGGACAAGAATGTAAGTAAGCACTATGAGAGTACGAATCTTACTGTATATTGCTTTTTCTCCCCAGAAATTTGCACCAATCTGTATAATTTTTGAAAAACTTCTTCATCAGTTCGTCCAAAGCTCCATCACCTAACTAGTATCATGAAATGAGTAAAAACCCAAACTAAGTAAACAATCAGTTATAGTAGAGAGAGTTCATGCTATAAGTGTTATAGCACCTTGGAGACTGATGTCTCCTTATGACTTTTCCGTATGTGAGTGTTAGCAAGGAGCAGGATCAAATGCTCCCTTTGGTTTGCAACATTTCCTTCCTGAAAGAAGACGAACAATGTTCGTATTAAAACATTCTCTTCCATCAGAAACTGTGGAGCTCAATGTAGAGAGGATGATATCAATGAAGAATATAATTTGTCTTGTATTGCAAATTGAAAGAAGAAAGGAGATCACCTGAAATCCAAAGCAAAACTGGAGCCAATCGAACAAATCCAGGCAAACTACCCTTCTACTAAAATCTTCAACAAATGGCAAACCGCGAACCTTACGAAAAGCAGCAACTGCAGCCTTGATCTGATTATTTAATGTAAAATTTTTGGTCAAAAATCAAGCTGTTATGATACAATTTACATATAACGCATGCAAGATGATAAGATTACTTGGCATAAAGGGCACAGTAAGTTGTGCGCATTCAAAGCATGCAGCAATCAGGAGCTTGATAACATGCAGAAAAAATAAATTTACTGGAACAAGTATCCATGAATGGAACTTAATTAATGCACATATTAAGACCTCGGGCAGCTGCATGATTGCTTGACTGGCACCTCCTTGATCCAGAGGGAGAATATTATAAGGGACATACAGTTCAGATTTTGCATTAATGCCCTCGCTCTCGGCAAGGACCTGCAATGTACAGCAAACTTAAAACCTACATATTCTATGGAAGTAGCATAACCTGGGAGGAAAACAAGTGAAAATATTTAAGCAAACAAAAAAAAATAAAACAGAAACTAAGGTAACCTGTGGACCGGCTGCAGTAGTAACTGTATTTAACACTTCGAATAAAGCTGAAGCAATAGCTCGGGCTTTTATCATTTTTTCGCTGTAAGAGAGAGATAAATAATGCGCTTACTCAACAACACAACTAAGCACATTGTTAGCATTTCAATAAAGCAAATAGAGTAACATGATTTGAAAAGAGAATGATCACCTGTTTTGCAAATTACTGTCTCCACTGTGCTTGATGATGAAGTCCTTGTACTCACGGTAAACACGTCTAAGTTCACGTATGTCACTCTTTTCCTTCCTCTTCCTGATTGTAATTTCTTCATCCTGTCGGTTACATAAATAGTCAGGGCACAGAATTTTATTACTAAAGGATAAGAAAGTTCCGAGAAAGTAGAGGAAAATTAGTTAATGAATGACAGATGGTGCCAGTTTAGGTGGCAGCCATTTTCAGCTTGATAGTATTTTACTTGTAAGAATTTACAAATTTGCCAATAACCAGAAGATACAGACCCATAGTAAGATCTGGAAAGTTCCTTCACAGATATCTTTTGTAACAAGACTATTGAGGGTTACTTACACTATGCTGAATCATTTTCTGCAGCCCAATCAAAGAGAAAAGGCACCAGAATAACAGCTTTGATGTATTTGTCATGGATGTAAAAGAATCATATCAGAGACATAGTGATTTTATTTTTTTAGGCCAGAGACATAATGATTAATAACTGCAGAGTTTGGGATTAAAAATGTTGAGCCCATCTCTTACTTGTAGAGCAGTCTGGTTGAAATTGTAGTCTTACAAAACAATAATCATTAAATTTCTTAGGATGAACAAACTTTGTCCGCTGAAAAAAGAAAGAGAAGATTGCTTGGTATTTGAAGAACATTTCCATTGATGGGGGCTTTCATTCAATTTTTTACCTGCTCAAGACTCTGAAGCAGAGAAGTCTTGAATTGCCGTACTCCTCGACCACTGGAATTTCTGTCCAAGTTATGTGCCACTTCAAATGCGTGAAAACGGCCTTCACAAAAGAATCAATCCATAAGTGCTTTATCGTTAGCATAAAAGATACAGACCAAACTCTCTTGAGTGCTATAATAATTTATGCGATCCCATTACAACCAAACCTTCTTTTCTTGAATGTGCTTATAAAAGCAAGGAAAAGAGCAACAAAATCACTCCTTGAAGTGCATTTTCTTTCTTTTCAGATACACTTCTCTGATGTCTTCTGCAACATTTTTTCGACTGAATAAAATATCACCTTTTTCGTTCGCTTATCATTAACAAATAAGAACAGATATGCCAGTGAATCAGTATAGGAACTTTAGATTAATAGCCAAAAGGGTGAACAAAATCAAGACAAGAAACTCGGTTTTCTTACTGTCTAAACTAATTTAGCGTACAATTATCACAATACAAACCAACCAACCCATAGAGGATTTTCAATTCAATTACAAGAAATTCCATGTTGCAACACATTATAATTAACTAACACAATATCAAGAATCCAACACCTAAAACACCGAATTTTTTAATGACTAGCACAAGTTTCAATCTTTGTTTCTAAACCATTTAGGTGCTTACAAAGATAAGCCACGCGAGGCTCTTCAAGTTCTATCTGATTAGCAACACGAAGAAATTTTTGGATCTCTGAAACCAAAGTGACCGGCAATTTCTCACTGTCAAAGGGCTCAACCACATGATCACGCCCAGAAGTGATTAATCTTGTAAAGGGTCTTGTATTAGTTGTCGTATATACTCTTCTGCTGCTAGTACTTGCAGAATTACTAGTGCTCGGATCTGCAGGAACAATCTCTGCCATTGTTCTTGGGAAAGCCAAGCAGAGCAAGAACTGAGATGCATGAGCATGGAAGTATAAAAATGGGATCTTTGGTGTATATACATGCTGCTATTAAATTGTTGTTGACAATCTGATTTTGCTTTTTGGGATGCTTTTTTTTTTTAGCTTGGTGGGGTGGACTGATCTTTTTCACTTTTGCTTTTGATGAAAATTTGGGAATGTGTCTTATGGGGTCTGGAATGAAAGGGGAAGTTGGCGTTGAGCTTCTCTTTTTGAAGCTGTGTGCGATAGGCGGGGTTTTTTAAAAGTTGGAAAAAGAAAGTGGAGGCCTAACGTGAGGGGAAAAGGTTTGGTAGTAAAAGGAGACGAGACAGAGCCATTGTTCACCTCGCTAAGGAATGACATTTGACGAATTATGAAATGGGGTTATGACAACCTCATAGAGAGTTCAAGAATTTGCAAATACACAGTACTCAGTTTCTATCCTTTCAGAAAGGAAAAGAGATGATCATTAAAGTCACAAGCTAGACAGCATTAAAGAAATTCGTTCGATGCAACTTCATTGGTCTTCCTCCAGAGAAGTGATTGCAGACTTGATTGCACCTGTATGTTTTGTTAAAATCCCCCTATTATTAGTACTCACAATAGTTGATTGCATTGATCTGCTACAAATAAAGAACATAAAGCTAGCTTTTGTGCTGGCTGTAAAGAGAAGAGCCCACTTTCTTCTGTTTTGTTCTCTAACTTCAACATAGGGTGCTAACGTAAATGTGGCATGCAAGCTACATTGTAAAAGATCAAAAGGGTCAAGAAAAGATAGAAAAGCAACCTAATGGATCAATTTCAGAAGTGGAGGGCTTACCAAATCACCTTTTGCTTTTCTGTAACAAAGAAAAATTTATTGCTGTTGAACTCGTATTCATGTGGTCATCAAAGTTTCTTTGATTGAAAAGTTGGTCAATTTATCATGTTAGATGATGAAGTGTTACTATCTGAAGATAAAACTGGAGGAGTAAGACGACGCTGAGAAGAGTAAACAAATTTGCCCTTTCCAGCAGTTTTCTTCCGAATTAAGTATGCCAAAGATGCATCCCGTATGAGCAGGAGAAACAATAGTGCTGGTTGCTTTATTTTGACCTTGATGCCTCGTCCTTCCTAGGCTGGAAGATCTGTAAAAGAGAATGAATGTTACTCTAGCGTTTGAACAATTAAGAGTTGTTTTTTTTTTTTTGCTATTATTTTAAAGATGAACAAAAAATTTCATAAAGTAAAATTTGCCAGTGGTTAAAACCCCAAAGTAGTCTTCCCCCTTCCCAAAAAAGAAAAAAAAAAACCCCAAAACTGCATGCACTTTTAGCAACGTCCCTGTGCACCTCAAATGTCATAAATTTACATACCGCCCTTTTAGTGAAGTTCGTGTATTCTTACAGGTCGTCCTTTTAGCAGTGCACCTCAAATGTTGTATTAAATGGCAGATCACCGTTTTTATGCACCTCCAATGTCGTATATTTATATTTTTATAGATCGCTCACCAACATAATTCTCATATCGCATTGACATTAATAGCGAGATTAAAATACATAATCTTTTATGAAAAAGTGTTCCATCCTTAGACGTGGAGTTAAGATTATATTTTCCTATTGAAAGAAAGATATGATATTGTGTAGCTAGTTTTATCACTGTGCAATCTGGCAAGTTTTACAACAGGAAAGGACTTCATGGGTTGGGCATTTCTGAGACCAGAGATATGTAATATGAGAAACCCAACGTGAGGCCCAAATGCTATGCAGGGCTTAATGGATTGTACATTGGCTTCAATTCCAATGGGCTGCTGGAGTTTGCCGTAGTAATTTTGCCTTCTTCCAAAAGTTACATCTGAAAATGTTACTGCTTACTAAACCCGATTAATTCATTTGCTATAACTCAAGATTCTATGAACATTTTCCACATGATTTTGGTGGAAGTCGCTACTATAAGTAGCAAAATCTCTATTTTTAGGAGCATTTAAAAAGTTGGACTATCTTTGTAATTTGGAATAAAAATAGGATTATATATGTAAAAACCCCATCTTATATGAACCAAAGTGTTTGTACTGTGATCAATTTGTTAGAAATTATTTTCACATTTCTTTACTCTACCACTGGAGAATTGAAGCGACCTGTTCCTGCGAGCTAATCGAATGGGCTTGCCATTTCTTGGAAAACAACCTTCCGTCGTCCATTAGCAAGAAAACCCAAAGGATTTTCTTCCAAAAGTTTTTTTTTTCCTTCCCCCCACGCGATCAACACTTAAGGTTACGAGGGCAGCTAAGGAGAAGGAAGGGGTCCTTCACTCCTTCTTGATGAGAGATGTCCAGAGAGAAATGCTCTTTGACTTTCACAAAAAGCTGAAAGAATTTAAGTAAAATTCCAAAACTTTTAATCCTACAATTATAGCTTGCAAAAGAAGAGAGAAATGCTCATGGCTTCTCAATCACATGAAGATCATTAATTAGTAGAGTTCGTGCATGGCTGTAGCAGAAGATGAGCATATAATATTTGACAGGAAAAATTCCAATATTTGTAAAAGGGATTCAAACTTTCATTGTATTGAGCATTTCACTAATGCGTTTTTGTTTTTTGTAATGCAAGGCTTTCTTTTCTATTGTTTGGTATATAGTATCTAATTAGTTGATTTGTTATACGACAAGATTACTAAAATCGTTTTTAAATTTTATCTAGCAAGTCAATTATTAGTGTGTTCATGGATGGATAGAGTGAACTGGACCACAAATGAAGTATATTCAAATGGATCATTATCTTGCTTAATTCCAAAACAAATAGCTTTCTGATCATAACATGTTGTTTGTCAGGATTTACATTTTCATAATCAAAGAAAACGCAATAATTGCATAAAACAAAGTTTTATAAACGATAAGTTTCTTGCCAGATAGAACTACAGGTAGGTTCCTCCAAAAGAATCTCTGAATAATCTATGACTCCTCCGTATTGAGCCGCGTTATGCTCTACATCTTCTTCTCCAACTTGTTCATACCAGCAAGAGAGACCGTGATCACCAGGTGAAGAAGATGAAGAAGATGATGATGATATCTCCAGATCCATCCAACTGAAATCAAGATCTTGTGATGCTGAATTATCCTGATCACCATACGTATATTCCTCATCAATTGACATTAGTTGATCAAAAAGGCAATCCTGCAGCTGGTAACCATCGTCAACGTTTGAGCCATGATCATTCATCAAACCGGGGTTGATAGCTGCCTCTAGAGATTGGATCACACTGTTTAATCTGTCATCATCACAACATTCAAGTTGCACTGAATCCTCAAGAAAGGACATAAGAATTGTGTCATCCCTTTGTGGGATTTCAGGGATTAGGCGCTCTTCATTGTTGGTGCAGGACATGTTTTCTGGTACAATTGATGCCATATGGAACTAGAAATGATCTGATATGAAAGAATTGGAAATGAACACTGGAAAAAAGAAGTAAACAGTTTAAAATTAACTTCAGTTGTCAAAGTTTTTGAGAACATTTAGGCCCTATAAATAGGTGGATGGATCCCTTAAAGGCATATATCATGCGCATGTGCTACTAAAATCCTTGAGGGGCCAATAGGGATGCATTATTATGACATTAAGTAGCATCCTGCACCAGAAACAATGTGCCTTAATTTAATCTTTCTAGCTAGCCTAGTTGAGTATTATTGGAACATTGTTGCAGTTGCAGGTGGCCTAATAGACAAAGAAAATTAAAATATGAACCTGGTCCTTTTTGACACCGACAAGAAATATTTCTGCATTTCTTTATCGAAAGATGAAAAAAAAAATCCTAGTCCGTGTTTATTTAAAAAAAAAGAAGAAGAAGAAGACTTTGGACATTAAGTTCAGCACTAATTTGAGGTGATAGCACAAGTATCCGAAAGAAATCATATGATTTGATAGCTAAAACAAAACCGACCTCTTGTAACATAAGTAAGTGATGTGTGAGCACTACAGATTACTGAAGAAGCAGTTGATTATTAATGGGTTTCCAAGTAAGCAAGATTGGTAACAAGGCATGCAATAAGATAGACAGAATCTGCAAAGGTGGAATCATATGTTTAAACCAGCATTGAAGTTTCACCAATTCGACCACTTGGGGAAGGTGTTATGCAACTATACCACTTTTACGTTAATTATATTGGATCTAAAATTTAAGATTTTCTAAAGGAAGTACGGTTCAATAAAGTTCAAACTAAGTTATTAGCCCACTAGTATGTGTTGTTAATACCATAATTTAACATCAAGTGTGTAAAAGCCGATTAACAGGATTGAGTGCTGTGCCAAAGAAAAACAAAAAAAAAAAAAAAAAAAGATCTCATAATGGAGTAGGTTCTTGGAAAGTGCAAGACTTTGGTCCACATTGAACGATGGAGGATCGCCACTCATTTTTGCAGACACTTGACCCATACCATGCATTTTGGTGGGCAAACATGGTGATAGTGCCCACACGGGACAGAAAACACATTACCAGAAAAAGGACCTCTAAGATAATCCTGCGTATATCACGTTTTGGTTGGGCTTCATGAGATCTCATTATCTTGCTTTCTGGTTTCTGCTACAAGTGTCTTAATATTTAAACAACAAGGGAAGTGAATCATGAATTTGAATTTGTTGAAAGGCAAACAAAGTTTCATATTATTGCAGTTTTCTTTCCAATGTACCGAGAATATTCATGCAGGCAACAGGCTGTACCCATGAAGCAAGGCTGGACGTTTCTTGTTGTGACAATTGGTGTCTTTTTCAATATTCAATGGTACTCATCCTACCTTGCGACCAATACCAACCATTCTCGATGTTAATTATTGGAGATCGAGTGTGGATCAAGGTGGAGAGTTGGAATTCAGCCTAGATGCTTGAGTAGTTAAATCCAGTAAGCTAGAGTTTTTTTTTTTACCTAGGTATGCGAGTGCTAACATCCTCCCCTTTATTGTTTCAAAGATGAAAGAAAAACTGTTTTTTTCCAAAGTTTGAAGTTCGTTTTGCTAGCTAGAGAAAATCAGAAATGCTGAATTAGTTTTTAAATTGACCAAAAGCCCATTTTGTAGTTATTTTACTATTTAATTTTAATTCAAAAGTTTAAGTTGTTATCCTTCTTAGACATATTTGCTTTTTTTTTTTTCTTTTCTTTTGGTGGGGGGCCCAAACCAAAGGCATGCAGGTTTTCCATTTTGGATAAAAAATAATAATTTCATTGAAATATATATATATATATCTAACTTGACATAGATGTATACAGATAATCAATCGAAACAAAGATCTAAAAATCAATGAATATAAAAGTTATATTGACTCAAAA